GATGTGTTATGTATGGAGGAATAATAAATCAAAAACAGTATATTAGAGGAGATGCAGAATCAGAGCACTGTAAATGCACTGTGTAATAAATATTATTATACCATAGTCTGGGTGAATGCTCCTTTCTGATTGGTCGGCAGGTATGCGTTAAAACCCTTTAATGTACACGTAGTTCGGCTAAACTTTGTAACTGTCTAAATTCATCCGCTAACCAGCCTGTAACCATAGCAACATTAACGAGCGCAGCTGTCAAACTGTCAACTGCCGAGGGAAAAAAAAACACTGCAGCTGTCAAACAACTTCAGAGGGAAAAAACAAACAGAAATAGCTGATTTTAACATTTCTTTTAACTTATTTGGAGAGTACAAGGATTTTGAGGAATGGGATGCCGCAGAAGAAAAAGAAATGGAGAAGGAAAGAAAAAAATCAAGTGAAAAACGGCACAAGGAGCTGACACCTGAAGAGCTTCAAATGATAGAGGAGGAGAAAGATGAGATAAATACAAAAAAGACAACAAAATGGGCAGTTAAGATACTGACGGACTTTCTCTGCCAAAATCAAAAGAACACGGATTTGAATACATACTCGGCAGTCATGCTTAATGACATTTTACGCGAGTTTTATGCCTCGGTTCAGTCCACTAAACCTGGCGGTGAGTACAGTGTGGCTAGCTTAATGAGTATCAGAGCTGGTTTTAACCGCCACGTATCACATTTCAACATAATAAGTGATACAGAGTTCAAATCCAGCAATGCTGTTTTTAAAGCAATGCTGAAACGGTATGGGCTCGGATAACCGAGTCTGACCTGCAGATGATCCGAAATTCAGCCATCCTGTCTCCCGACACTCCTGCTGGCCTGGTGAGGAAGGTCTGGTTTGATATCCAGCTTTGCTTTGCACAGAGGGGCCGAGAAGGGAATCGGCAGCTGACGAAATCATCATTTTCTCTACTGCATGATGAGGATGGTGTGGAATATATTAGCCTGGCGCACAATCCAGAGACTAAAAATCATAAAGATCCCACCGCCTCGAACAAGGAAAATCTGAGAGGTTTCATGTTTGCCCTGCCTGGGAATCCCTTGTGTCCGGTTCAAAGTTTTAAGAGCTACATCTCCAGATGTCCAGACAACGCCAAGGCCTTCTATCTCCACCCGAGGCGCATCCTGGACACGCAGCTTAATTCCACTCAAGTGTGGTACACCCAGGAGCCGATGGGGGTGAATTACCTCGGGAATATGCTCAAAATGATCTGTGAAGAGGTGAGATATTTGGGCACACACTAAAGCTGACAAAATCATCAATAATTTCTCTTCCCCAAATTATTTATTCAAGTTAATTTATTTTTTTCAGGTGAGTCTCTCCACACCCCTCTCCCGGATCTACACAAACCACAGCCTGCGGAGCACTGCTGTGAGTTGGCTCTCCGACGCGGGGCTAGAGGGTCGCCATGTTATGTCTGTGACAGGCCACCGGTGTGAGACCAGCCTCAAATTCTACTGGGTTCTTTTCGTATCGGAGAGGAAGACATGGAGCCAGATCTTGTCCTGTCATACCTCCACAAGCACCGTGACGCATCGCCAATCAGTTCATCAGCCCACCAATAAACCAAACGTGCCTATTTCGTTCACAAATTGCACCATTAACGGGAACATGAAATTTCATTTAAATGCTTGACTAATTGTTGATTATTTGCTCATAGCTTCACTGCATGAAAAATCGAAATGAAGCCTATTTTTTGTCTGATTATTCTAAATTGTTACTAATAGCCTAGTTTATTTTGTGTGTGCTGGTTGAAGGCATGAATTGTTTCAAATTGTTATCCTATTAAGCCTATTTATTTATTTATTTATTGGTGGCTGAAGGCTAAACCTGTTCTAAATTGTTAATAGACTACTTATTTATTGCTTGTCGAAGGGTTACATTACACTTACATTACATTTTGTTATCTTTTATAGCCTACTTTATTTGAAATAGAAATGAACCAATTAAATTGATATTTATTGCTTGTTACATTTTGTTATCTGCTTTATTTGAAATAGAAATGAACCAATTAAATTGATGAATTAATGAACCAATAAATGATCACCTATTTAGTAGCTGTGTCTCTTATTTAACCTAATCAATTTAGCAAATGTCTATCATTGCCTGGTAATCTGATGGCTTATCTGCACACTGGGTCACGACTCACTACTTGGTCCGATCATTTTATAAACAATAACCACACTGTGGAATAATTTTGACCTAAATCAAGCTTAATTTTAATTTTTAATTGGCTACTTTTCGCTTTGTTAGAGTGATTGAGCCTCATCCCGTCCTACTGTGACTACTGTAACTGGTGTGGTTGTAAAAGGGACTAGTTTATTCCTTGTCATGACAATGGTAAGCTCTTGCTTCAAAAACTTGGAAATATGCAAAAACGGCATTGTGGCTGTCTGCACATGACCCGCACATGCGCAGCTCGCGCTGCTAATTGTGCTCACGGTATGAATGGGTAGTGGACAAAACCGCGAATATAAACATTAGAAATATGGGAAAAATGCAAAAACGGCATCATGGATGTCTGCACATGACCCGCGCATGCACAGCTCGCGCTGCTAATGGTGCTCACAGTATTAATGGGTAGTGGACAAAAACGCGAATATAAACAGTAGAAATGTGGGAAAAATGCAAAAACGGCATCGTGGCTGTCTGCACATGACCAAGATGAAAGCCTGTGTGCAAGTTCAGAGAAGTAGGTCAAAGCAGTGAGGAGGAAAACGGATGATGACAGACAGATGGGACAGACGGAGGAACAGAGGTTTCTCCATTTAATAGTAGGATAGTAGGATAAATATTCTTTTGATCAATCAATCAATCAATCAATCAATTTTATTTATAAAGCCCAATATCACAAATCACAATTTGCCTCACAGGGCTTTACAGCATATGACATCCCTCTGTCCTTATGACCCTCGCAGCGGATAAGGAAAAACTCCCCCAAAAAAACCCTTTAACGGGGAAAAAAAACCTCAGGAAGAGAAACTGAGGAGGGATCCCTCTTCCAGGACGGACAGACGTGCAATAGATGTCGTACAGAACAGATCAGCATAATAAATTAACAGTAATCCGTATGACACAATGAGACAGAGAGAGAGACAGAGAGAGAGATGCAGGTAATAACAGTAGCTTACAACAACATTATTGAAAGTAATAATATTATAGTTATAGTTCTGGCTACTGTGGTACAATATGTTGAAAGTATGTATTAATATCTGGCAGTATACATGTGTGACAATAGTCATATGTGTATAATAACAGTAGAAGTATGACTAATGACTAATGATGGCAGCAGCAGCAGGAGGCATCTGGCAGGACCACGGCAGCAGCACAACCACACAGGTCACGCTGTCCAGGCACCGCTGCGATATGAGTTAATCTGAGAGACAGTGGAGCACAAAGGCTCCGGAGAAGAAGCCGAGTTAGTGACATCCAGAATGGCCGAGTTAGCAAGATGCAGTAATAGAATACGAGAGAGAGAGATAGAGAAGGAGAGAAGGTGCCCGGTGTATTATAGGGGGGTCCTCCGGCAGACTAGGCCTAAGTCAGCCTAACTAGGGGCTGGTACAGGGCAAGCCTGAGCCAGCCCTAACTAGCTTATAAGCTTATAAGCCTAACTAATAAGCTTTATGAAAGAGGAAAGTCTTAAGTCTAGTCTTAAATGTGGAGACGGTGTCTGCCTCCCGGACCGTAACAGGAAGATGATTCCACAGGAGAGGAGCCTGATAGCTGAAGGCTCTTGCTCCTGATCTACTTTTGGAGACTTTAGGGACCACGAGTGACCCTGCGTTCTCAGAGCGCAGTGTTCTGGTGGGATAATATGGCACTATGAGATATGACGGAGCTTGACCATTTAGAGCTTTATAAGTTAACAGTAGGATTTTAAATTCAATTCTGGATTTTACAGGGAGCCAGTGCAGAGAAGCTAAAACAGGAGAAATATGATCTCGTTTCTTAGTTCCTGTTAGTACACGTGCTGCTGCACTCTGAATTAGCTGTGTTGATATCAACAATCTATAATACACATTCCCATAAAACCATTTCACTTGAACTTATACAATATTAAAAATACATTAAATAACTACAATTGAAACAAAATTGTTTTCAAACATCTAAATGCATCTTAATTACATTTAGCATTCTACATGTTCTTTATTCTGCACTCTGTATCTTTTCATTCTACTGCCCTCTGTATCTTATGTTGTACTTTTTTATTCTAGACTCCTTTATTTTGTACTTTATTCTGATGCATGCTGTATCTTGTTTATTTTTTACTTTTTATTCTGCACCCTGTATCTTGTTTATTTGGTACTTTTTATTCTGCACATCTTTTATTTATTTTGTACTTTTTTATTTTGCTTCACTCTGTATATTGTTTATTTTGTACTTTTTAGAAGAAGAAAAGAAGAAAAAACTTAAAAACTTTAGAAGTGCTGCTTTCGAGCCTTGGCTGCAGCAAATGCTGACACTAGATCTTCAGGTCCAAGGATCTTCTGACTTCTTGTTCTATGGAGATTTGTGCTCGAGAAGCTTCTCTCGCCAGATGCGACAGTGACTGGAATACTATTGAAATTCCCATAGAGATCTAGAAGTTCCTCCTTGTATATGTAGTCCAACATCTGTCTTGGGGAGACACACATCATCTGGGAATGTGTGAATTGCAGCCCTTAGCTCCATCACCATCTCCTCTCCATCAATATCATCCATTGTTTTTTCCAGATTTAGGCACTGCTTCTCAAGCTTTGCAGACTTAACTGTCTTTATCATTTCCTCTTTGGAGAACATGAAACCATACAAGCTGTAAAAGTCCTCCATCTTTGAGAACAGGGTGGAGATGCTGCTGAGGGCAGTGTCCACCAGTGGAAGAAAAAACTCCTGATTGATGAGTTCATCTGGTGTAGACAATGTTTCTTCTCTGCTCTCATATAGAAACTGTCTTTTTGTTGTTCTTATTCTCTTTTCAGGAAGCCTCATGTCAATCCCTAGAACCTCAGCAATTTCTCTTGCTTCTACCTGGCAGGGAGCAAGCCCACTGTCTCTGAAGTCTGTAAGGTAGTTCTTGACTCCTGCAAGTTCTGTTTTCACCGTTTGGATGGAAACTGTGGGGCTTTGAACTATTTTGCTAGCATGGTTTACCTGGTATAGGACATTGTATCATACCACAATGCAAAGCAGAAACTGCCAGATCCTCATCTCACGCAGTATGCTCTCAGCTGAGGACATTGTCTCAGAGTCCTTTTTTTCCACAGCAACGTCATTCAGGGTAGACAGTGCTTGTATCATCTCTGGCATCTGGTACCTCAGAGCCTTTACACTCTGGATCCTTGCCTCCCATCTTGTCACTAATAAAGGTTTCACAGTGAAGTCCTTGACATTTTGTTTCAGGATTGCCCAGTGTGACACAGATGAACTGAAAAGGGTGTAGAGTCTCTGCAAGACACCAAAGAGGGACATAGACCGCACCAAAGATTTTGCTGCATCTGCTATAACGAGATTCAGAGTGTGATTGCTGCAGGGAACACACAGTGCCTTGTTGTTCAGTTGCAGTATTCTTGCTTGGACCCCCTGTTTGTGTCCCATCATGTTACTCCCATTGTCATGGGATTGGCCACGACAGTATGCGATATTTAGGTTGTGCTTTTGCAGCTTTTCCAGAAGCATATTACACAGGCCTTTTCCAGTTGTGTCTAGTACATCAAGAAAGCCAAAGAAGTGTTCACTGACAGAGGCACCAATGGACGGTTCACAGTTGACAATTCTCAGAACAATAGAGAGTTGTTCTGTATGACTAATATCAGGAGTGTAATCCATTATGACAGCGTAGTATTTGGCCTTAGTTACATTTCTGACTATCTACTCAACTACTTTGTTTCCCACCAATTCAATGATCTCATTTTGGATGTTACTGCTAAGGTAATGCACTTTGGTTTCCTGATTCTGGATTCTTCGTAGATGTTCACTCAGGACCGGATCAAATTTTATCATTAATTCAATCTGTGCTTAAAAGTTTCCATTATGTCTGTCAAACAAAACTTTGTATTTCCTCTTAGAGCCTGGTTTCTTTCTGCTAGATGGCATATGATGGCGTTACTCTCCTAATGACACCCTTCCAGTGCTCCACCCCATGCTGCATCAAATCTAGTTGGATTTGATCGATCACTGTCCTGCTTTCTATCCTTTTTTTGCAATTCATGCCAGCACGTAATATCTCTGCATGTGGCTTGGAGAACTCATGCTCCTTAAGGTGAGACCCTAAATTCCTCCAGCTCCTGAACCCTTCTTTGCTAAGTGCATTTGCCCGGTCACCAAACAGAGTGCAAGCAAAGCAGAAGACAGCATCTGCTTTTCTAGAGTAGAGTAACCATGGCCTTTTAATTTTTTCCCCATTTTTCATTTTCCTGTTGTAATGTTCATTTGTGAATCTCCGTGGAATTTTGTCCTGATTTTTTGGAAACTCAAAGTCAGTAACCTGCACAGGCCCTTTCTTAACAAGAATACAACATGCTGCAGCTGGTGTCTTACTAGAAGACCATTCTACAGGGTCATCAGACATTGTCCATGTTTTGAGTTTGTGGTAGTGATGCTGCTAGCAGGCAGAGAAGAGAGAGTAAGAGATGGAAAGGGAGAGAGAAAGAGTGTTCACTTGTGTCAACTGACTACTGCATGAAACTATATAATAGATGAGATGTATCTTATCTTATGAAAAGGGCTTGGAGTAAACCTACCTTCTCTGGGAGTGATGGCAGCTTGGACAGGCTGGTCATCACTGGCTTGCATGGAACTTGATGCAACAACTGCAATCAAATGAATACATATGAATGCACAGAAAGAAGAAGAGAGAGGGGGAGAGGATGGGTGCTCTCCCTTGCCATGGATGACATCTGATTGTGTGGATGTTGATGGAACCACTGCAAAAGAATACATATTGTGGCAAATGGTAGCTGACTGGGCGACTAAAGGTATATAAAGATATACATATCTACATACATTAAATCCTATCTACATGCATCCATACATACGATGCGCTGAGTACATAATGAGACACCTACATACATACATAGTCCCCTGAGCACCTCTCAGGCCAACCACCACCTGCAACCAGCCAGCACACCAAACGGAACAAACAAGAATCCACACAAGTGATATTGAGCACCTGGGGGCTCCTCCCTCTCTGCCCAGAGTGCTGTCCTTAAAGGCTCTCTAAGTCTTCCTAAGCTTGAAAAGTTTTTGTCACATACAGCAAACATTTCCTCACAATCCGCTAGCTACATGTCCTCTGAATATGCTGTGAAAAAGTCCGGTCTCTGTAGGCAGCCCAGGCTCCACAAATGGCAACAAAAACATTTTGGTTCAGGCTGCACCAACTAGCCAGTGCGAGACCAGCGAAAGCAAGCACACACACATGAACACGGTGCCCATGTCACACGTGAACCGGTGCCCAGAGAGGCAGTTATGGCTACAGGCTACAATGAGGCTAAAAGGCAAGCTAGCTTCGTTGTGTTTGATAACATTGTTGAACGTAAACAGAAGTGAAGTGTTTTTGTTGCCATTTGCGGAGCCTGGACTGCCTACAGAGACCAGACTTTTTCCACAGCATATTCAGAGGACATGTTACAGAGCCCCTTAAAGGTCAAGTCTGGATATTTTTTGGACTGACTTTTGCATCCCCTCACAATACTTTTGCGTCCCCATGCAATAATTTTGCGTCCCCTCGCAATACATTGCGTTACCATGAAATACTTTTTGCGTTCCCTTGCAATACTTTTATGTTCCTTCGCAATACTTTTGCATCCCCTCGCAATAGTTTTGCATTCTCTCGCAATAATGTTTGGATTCCCATGAGCCACCATTGTCACTTCCTCTTAGATGCCCACATTGATTGGTGACCAACGTAAACTTTGTATAAAGCTGCGGCCCATATTAGGTAAAATTGTGTGTCACTCTTGCCTGGTGAGATCTCCTTTTAAACTGTAGTATTGTTATTATTGTCTTTCATGCCATTGTAAGTAGCCTACTTAATTATTTTCGGTAACCGGCACCATGCCGGTTCTGTGTCAGTCGAAATGCGCTATTTGTGACTCCGGGCCCAACTCTGCCACTGATTGGCCAGTCTGACATTCTTCATAATACATAAAGAATGTTAGTGAAACACATAGGCCTGACAGAAACATGCGTTCGTTTTGGGGACAAGTTAGTGGTCATGTTACTCGTCGTTAGCATTAATTGGTGACAGAAAAGAACGATTTTCATTCTGCAGGGAAACACGTGTCCTTACTGTGACCCTGTGTGCGCTCAAAGCTGTGGCACAAGTTTCGCACGGAAATCTGGTGGAAGAAAAATAATAATAAGAAAAATAAGTATGAGGAATAACAAGTGTGTTCCTGTAGGCTATGTGCTTTGCACATCAGGTACACAAATAAAATAAATCATCATGACTATCATTTATCATAATTTGTCCGCATATATCCCACATCTGCATGCACATATGAGATAGTTTACCGCGCCCAAAAAATGCGCCAGGGCACAACAGAAACACATCCACCCTCCAAACCTGCGACATTTCACAGATATCAGGCAACTGACAGATGTAATTGAGCTCAGCTGGAACCTCATCAAGGGATGCTCCACCTACTACTCTATATAAAGGTGTTGCCAGTTTATACCTGGCGTTTTGTCTGATTCTCAGTATAGATTGATATAGTCCATAAATCTGTCAATTTTGTCCTTCTGTGAACTGGTCATGTTAAGATGATCATTAGCAGAGACACAATGCTGATGAATGCAAGTAAGATACAATGTGGTCAGGATACAATGCAGGTCCTTAAGTTCATTTGTCCTTTCATCCGTCTTTCATATTTTTGTATAAATATAACACATTTCCTCATGATTCTCTTACCAAGACTACTTCTTATTTAGTTGTAGTCTTGTTTTTGTCATGAAAATGGGTCATTAACAAATATTTATCGTCTTAGTTTTTCATTAGAATTATTAGAACACACATACACACGAGCAGCAGGGAATTAGTGCGTTAGTTAGCAGCATTGTGTGTGACTTAGGACTTATCGATTGATTTAGTTTCACCACCGCGGTGGTGGACAGCTCCTGTTGAGAGCGATCTTAAGAGCGATCATAAGAAGGGCATTAAAAACGCATCTGGGAAGCACTCCTATCTTAGCGACCCTTCTTAGCTAAGATGTTCTTAACTGTGCTCTTAAGTCTTTAGATCGCTCTTAACTGGGAAACGCGGCCAATATGTGTAGCTTCGGGGAGGGTCAAAAAAAACAAAAACAAAAAACTAAGTCACACCCCAGTCACCACCCTCCTCTGATAAGTAAAGAATAGCTCCTAAGGAGCTTTCTAAACTGAACCATGTGCTTTTGTTGCACAAGAAAATTAACCTTAATATGAGGTGTTTTACCTACTTATCATGTCAACATACAGGGAAAATGTCTCCAGAGTTTATGACATTTACCGGGAGAGCTAGAGCCATTTGACTAAAGCTGAAGTTATTACTGCTGTAGCATGATATTATTAGGCTAAATACTACATTTCTAACAGTGTCACACAGTGACAGTGTGACACAGCATGCTTGTAGGCTGCTGTAACGTTAGGTTTACAGAGGAAATAACGGGAAATAATGGGATTTGACTTAATCAGGTGAAAATATCGTTAGTGAAACAGAAACAAGCATTAGTTACGGGACAAGAGCCAAGAGTCACAAAGACTCACGTATGTTAAAAGTTACTTACAACCGGTGGATTTACTGTATGTGTCCAGGGTCCTTCGCCTGTGGAACGCGTTAAATGATCACTAACTTGTCAGAAAATTATCTAAAAAGAGGTTTAATTCCACTAAAAAAGGACAGGAGATCTATAGAATTCCAAAAAGTGAGGAGGAGCCCTTCAAGAACACCATAGAACATTTTAATTGGAGCAGCCTGCTATTAGGTAAAAATGCAAACGAGGATAGTCGAATACTATCGAACAAATTACAGAGCATAATCACTGACTTCACTCAAAAGTTTAAATGTAGAAATAAAAAGAACAGTCTTC